GCCCTCGCGTTTTTGGGATTGGGCATCTGCTTTGACTTAGTGAGACAAGGAATGAGAAAAAGATCACAGAGCGGCACCGCACGCGAGCTGTCTTTCGGCGCCCCGCGCGAGCGCCCCGCGCTGGAAGCCAGCGGCCGCAGTGGGCGCCAAAAGCAGCCAAGACCTGCTCCGTGGGCGGGGAGGGGAGAGGAGCGCGAGAGCCCGCGCCGATCGGCAAGACAATGAATGAGAAAACTCCTCCTCCTCCTCCTCCTCCTCCTCCTCCTCCTCCTCCTCCTCCTCCTCCTCATCATCATCCTCCTCCTCCCGATCACAAAGCGGCACCGCACGCGAGCTGTGTTCCGGCGCCCCCGCGCGGGCGCCCCGCGCTGGGGGCCGGCGGCTTCCAGCGGGGGTGCTCCCCGGCGGCCCCGCCCGTGCTCGCGCCAGCGAGGGGGTCGGGAGGACGGGGAGGAGGAGGGACGCGGGGGAGCGGCGAGTAGGGAGGCGGGCCCTCCTCCTCCTCCTCCTCCTCCTCCTCCTCCTCCTCCTCCTCCTCCTCCTCCTCCTCCTCCTCCTCTTTCTCCTCCTGTTCATCACCCTCCTTGTCCTCCTCCTCCTCCTCCTCCTCCTCCTCCTCCTCCTCCTCCTCCTCCTCCTCCTCCTCCTCCTTGTCCTCATCCCCCTCCTTCGCAGGGAGGAGAGAGGCGGAAATGCGGGGAGACGTGGTGGTCACCGTCCTCCCCAGTCGGCGCAGGGCCAGACGGTCCAGCTTCTCTTGCACCCTCTGGGAGGCCCGTCGGGAGCGCCCGCTCGGGACTCTGGGAGGGCTGCCTTCGCGTCCCCGGGTGCTCTCTTGGGTCTCGGTCATATTTGGGCGATCGGGGGCCGTCTTGGAGGCTGAGGGGGGTGCAACTGGAAATGCGACCGAGGTCCTGTTTTTGAGCACCCCATTTCTTCCCCGGATTGAATGAGATAATGAAAATATGAGTATACAGTCAGCTACGAGAAAGACGACGGAGGGCGGAGGTGGACGCAAGAACAGGCACGGAAGACAAAACTGTGGAGAGGAAGGGTGGAGTAGGGATCTGGACGCAAGAACAACGACGGTGGAGGGAGGAGGCGGACGCAATAGAAAAATAGAGGACGGGAGTTGAGACGGAGTGTAGCGCCGCTCCGCTACCGTAGCTGGGAGAGGGATGGAGAGAAGAGAAGGCGGAAGGAAGAGGCGGGATAAAGGAGACATCGGCCAGGAGGGACGAAGGATAGATGGGGGAAGAGGGGAGAAGGAAAAAGGTCAGGAGGGAGAGACTCGAGAAGGAGAAAGCACGGGGGGAAGAAACGGAGGAAGCCATCAACGGTGGGGAGGAGAGATGGTAGAGCAATGATGTACAATGTGGGCTGACGATTAAGAATTACTCTGACGGTGCAACCCCACATGAGAATACCTCGGCTACTGTGAGGTAGTCCTCCTCGTCGTCCTCGTGATCGCGTGTCTCTCTTTCTGCCTCCTGTCCTGCATCCTCCTTGTCGACCTCGCGGAGGCCCTCCTGCCGCCTGCTGCTCGGCCTCCTCCTCCTCCTCCTGCCTCTCGCCCCCTCCACCACTTCCCCCAGTCCTCTTTGAAGGGGCCCCAGGACACACAAATAAATACACACAAATAAAAGTATGTCCCATATTTTCCTATATTTTCTGGGTTTCTGTCTTCCCCCCCACTTCCCATATTTTCCCATATTTTCTGGGGAATCGAGGATTAATTGTGTCTGTGTGTTTCTTCTCCTCCTGACTCTTGCAAGGACACGCGTGTCGAGTTTCCGAGGGGCCTGCACCGCCTCAACCGGCGGCGCGCGAGTTCGCCGTCGGCCTGACCGCAAAGCCGCTGGGAACCCAGGACATGAGGACCCCATATGGGACGAGCTCCCGCTCGAGACTTCCTTCGGATTCTGGCCTGAGGAGCCCAAAAGTGCCGACAGGGACAGGATCCGGATGGCCGCGCTCGGATTCCAACATGGAAGTGAGACCCTTTTTGGAAAAACTTCGTCACGATTCACGTCCTCCACATACTTCTTCCTTGATTCAGGCGTGGCGACCCCAACAGTGCCGACAGTTACAGGATCCGGATGGCCCAGCTCGGAATCCAACATGGAGGTGGGAACCACATCAGGAGGGGCTCCCGCTCGAGACCTCCTCGCGATTCACTCATAGACGAAGCTCCCGCTCGAGACTTCCTCCAGACTGAGGCCTGAGGAGCCCAAAATTGATGACAGCTACCTCGCTCGGATTCCAACATGGGAGCGGGGACCCCATATGGGAGGAATTCCCGCTCGAGACTTCCTCGCGATTCAGTGACGGACGAAGCTCCTGCTCGAGACTTCCTCCCGATTCAGGCATGGGGGAGCCCAAAAGTGCCGACAGTTACAAGATCTGGATGGCTCAGCTCGGATTCCAAAATTGAAATAGGGATCCCGGAGGGGCTCCAGCGCGAGACTCCCTCGCGATTCACTCCCAGACGAAACTCGCA